CATGGGCTTTACCGATGGTCTTATTTCCACCTGTGAGATCTCTGCCAAGCATGCGTAATCTTTTTGTATGATCTTGCAACTGCAACATTGGTGCGAAGCGTATGCCAATAAAAGTTCTTATAAGGAAACTTAAGAGCACAGAAGTTCGTTTTCTGTTATAGGAGGGCCAAGAATCCTCGCTGCCCCACAGGATGAATAGTTTTCCGGTACATCGGCTAAATGAGTCGTGCGATCTCTTGAATATCTTTAAAATGGAGCAATTGATATACCTACGGTATACAACACTTTTACAATTCGTGGTAATATTTATGAACTGATTTCTAGGTAGATGCAAGATCGCATGATCGTGCATGAGGGCGCCAGACAAACTTAACCCCATCCTTCATTTAGACATCTGAAAACTAAATTCGTATAACTTAAACATAGGGGCAAAGCAGACCAACCACACGGGGTTTCTATACATTTCGGCTGCAGCGCCATCCATTGGGTCCATTTTCTGCAAAACCGTTGCTTACCATGAAATGAATACGTGTTATGAATTTCAACCTCGAATCCAGCGGCGCTCATCGGGTAAAATTTATATCAAAAGAATTTTCCATCGTACAGGTACATAGCCCACATTTAAAATTTGTACGAAATCGATTAATAAATAAGATTTTTATAAATAACTCTACTCCAGCACCACCTAGCGAGTTTTCTTGTAGCATGGAATAGAACCATATATGTATGTATGTAAGATAACCTCCGACATTCTGACGGAACTCTATTCAGTGGTTTTTGAGTTTAGTCCGAACAACGAAAACGGCTATCATTTTATGTATATAGCGAAACTCGTAAAATCAAAGCTCTCTTCTTTGTGACAGAAATTTTAACTTTTACTAAAAATTAAAAACAAAGATGCAATTGTTCAAGGGATTTAGAAATCTAGGAGAAAATGGTTCTCAATTGAATGATACTTGCGCGTTTACGTAAACGTATATCGATCCAGCCTTTCCAATAATTACCACTTTTCGCCATAAGTACGGTATTGATAACTTATGTAGCTGTGCCAAATTTCAGAAAGTAAACGTGAGCGTTTCCAGAGACATGTGAAATGGGAAGCATGGGCCACGCCCCCTTTTCCATTACTAACCACTTTTCGCCATAAGTACGGTATTGATGACATATGAAGCTGTGTCCTCTTCCATGAACATTTTCCGGGATATGCAGTATGAAAAATTCGGTTTGTATGGGATTTGCCACGGAACTTTTTCTAATAGCCTCAATTTTTCTTCATTACCATGTGATTGATTTCATATATCTCCATAACAAGTTCCAGTACTCTACCATGAACACTCCCAGAGATATACCCACAGTACGACAAATTCGGTTTGTTTGGGAGGTGTTTTTATTACACATTTTGGTGGACTATTTGCGAATTTCTCTTACTGAATACCTAAATATTCTCAAGTCACAAAGAGTCACTGCAGGCTTTTTTGGAAAAATGAAAGGGCCCTCTATAGATTTTGAGAAGAAAGTATTTTATGGTCCATTTTCAACATATTTTACTTTGATTTTATTAATTACTTTTTAAATTTTAACCTTTACTTAGGTTTACCAGAGGTAAACACTTTGAGAGAAAATCGCAAGCAGCACACAAGTCTTCGTTGGTTAATTTATTTTTTTAAATATTTTATATTTGGGGAGTATCATTATGTCCAACATAAGGCCTCATACTCAGCAATCGAATAGACTCGGAACTGGTGACTATGCCGGCCATTCATTCGACCAAGTCTTTACAGTTTTGCTTTCGTTTTGTCTTTTTATACCCGAGCGCACCTGTGCACAAGGGTATTATAACTTTGTTCACATAACGGTTGTTTGTAACAGGCAAAACGAATCGTCGGGCGTAGGACGGTATTGAAAATGGGCAAAATCGGACAATAACCACGCCTACCTCCCATATAACGGTAATTTTCCGAAATACCAAAACTGCGATATTTTAGTAACTACTGAAGATTATTCACTCAAAATTGATATTTACAATAATTTTTAGACGAAAAATAAGAATATTATACATTTTTGGAAAATGGGCGTAGCCACGCCCACTTATGGATACATGTGTATATCTTGGTAACCGCTGCACAAATTTCTTCCAAACTTGGCACAGTTGTTAGTCTTGCTACAGCATTCCAAATGGCCGAAAATTTTTAAAATCGGACAATAACCACGCCTACCTCCCATATAACGGTAATTTGGAGAAATACGAAATCTTCGATAAATCAATAAATATTAAAGCTAATTTACTCAAAATTGATGCTTTCAACAATTCTTTACCAAGAAATACGTTTATGATAAAATTTTGGAAAATTGGTGTGGCACCGCCCACTTATGATCACATATATGTATCTCGGTAACCGTTCTACCAATTTGTACCAAACTCGGTATGATTATTGTGCTTGCCCCATAGAAGCAAAATGTTGAAAATTATTGGAATCAGATTCAAATTACGACCACTTTTCATATAACGGCAAATTTCAGAAATGCTTAAAACTTCAATATTTCAAAATTTAAGGACGCTAATTTACTCAAAATTTATACACAGCGGCTTACCATGTAGCGGTACCTGCGCGGGGTATTTAATGTTCGGCTCCGCCCGAACTTAGACTTTCTTACTTGTTTTATACACAGTTTACACTGCTGGCGAATGCAAATAAGGATTCAAATTTTAAAACAATTAACAAAATTAAAGTAAAATGTATACAAAATTAATAAGAAAATACTTTCTTCGAAAAATCTAAAAAGCAGCCTTCAATTTTGCAAAAAAAGCTGTGTAACGTATATTCGTCGCCACGCTGTAATTTATAGCCTAAAATTTGTTTACTTTACATATATGAGGCTGACTTACTGAAATCCAGCACAAATATAACTTACCATAATTTTTACCGAAAACTTTAAGCTGTTGTTATAAGTTGCGTGAATTTATTTATCAATATTAATAAATTTCATTTTTACTTGAACTTGCCATTTCGTTTTATGTGTTGCGTTCATGTAACACTGTGCGTAAACTCTTAAATTTACATGTTTCATAAGTTTTCACGTTTTGGCGAATATCCATATTTTGCCTGGAAAGTATATAGTATATACTTATACATTTATTATAAGTATATATAAATATCCTGTCGAAACGTGATTTAAAAAGGTGGAGGTGAAATAACACAAACGGCAATAACGCAAAATTTGCTTTATTTCACTTTTAAATGGGAATTAATGCCAAAATCTGAGTTTTACTTTATTTCCAACAAGGATTGAAAATAAAACAAATTGTACCCTATTCCCCATTGCTTATTTATACTATTTATAACAAAAACAGTTTACTGACG